AAGGACATGGAGACTCTGGAAGATGGACTTAAAATTGCAAAGAGAGTGACTGAGGTGGGCCCAGAACCCTGTTCTCCACGCTCAGCAGTGATGGTCCAGCAGGAATCCCCGACGTGGGTTCCCAGCCGCTTGCTCAGTGGTTAGTGTGCACCTACAAACCAGGAGGCCATGGTTCGGTTTCCAGTCAGGGCACAGGCTTGCTCCCCAGAGGGCAGCCGGTCCATGATTCTCTCTCATCATTAATGCTTCTCTCTCCCCCTCTCCCCTCCTCTCTGAAATCAATAAAAAATCATATTTTTAAAAAAGCGATGTGACCTTGGGAAGGCAGCTTACCCACTCCGGCCTCACTGTCCTCGCTGTAAGCTGGGGGTAGGAGGCCCCGCAGCTCTGAGGCTGCCGTGGGAGCGCGGTAGAAGGCAGGTGGAGGGCCTGGCTCAGGCGGCGCGCAGGTGGGTGCTGGTGCCGGTGCCGGTGATGGTGACGGTGCAGTGACAGTGACGGTGACGGTGAAGTGATGGTGACGGTGAGGTGACGGTGACGGTGAGGTGACAGTGACGGTGCCGGTGATGGTGATGATGACGGTGAAGTGACTCTGAGGTGATGGTGATGGTGATGAAGTGACGGTGACGGTGACGGTGATGGTGAGGTGACGGTGAGATCACGGTGATGGTGAGGTGACGGTGAGGTGACAGTGAGGGGACGGTGATGGTGACAGTGAGGTGACGGTGATGGTGACAGTGAGGTGACGGTGATGGTGAGGTGACGGTGACGGTGAGGTGACAGTGAGATGACGGTGACGGTGACAGTGAGATGACAGTGACAGTGCCGGTGCCGGTGCCGGTGATGGTGACAGTGAAGTGACGGTGAGGTGCTGGTGATGGTGATGGTGATGGTGAAGTGATGGTGATGGTGAGGTGACGGTAAGGTGACGGTGAGGTGACAGTGAGAGATGGTGATGGTGACAGTGAGGTGACGGTGACAGTGAAGTGACGGTGACAGTGACAGTGAGGTGACGGTGAGGTGACTGTGACAGTGAGGTGACAGTGAAGTGACGGTGACGGTGACAGTGAGGTGACGGTGAGGTGATGTTGAGGTGACGGTGACAGTGAGGTGACAGTGAAGTGACGGTGACGGTGACAGTGAGGTGACGGTGAGGTGATGTTGAGGTGATGGTGACAGTGAGGTGACAGTGAAGTGATGGTGACGGTGACAGTGAGGTGATGGTGACGGTGAGGTGACGGTGACGGTGAGGTGACGGTGACAGTGAGGTGATGGTGAGGTGACGGTGACGGTGAGGTGACGTTGAGGTGACGGTGAGGTGACAGTGAGGTGATGGTGAGGTAATGGTGACGGTGACGGTGACGGTGACAGTGAGGTGACGATGAGGTGACTGAGGTGACGGTGAGGTGACGGTGACGGTGAGGTGATGGTGATGGTGACGGTGACAGTGACGGTGACAGTGACGGTGATGGCTGTGATTCACAGGGAGGGCTCCTTGCCTCCGGCTCTCCCGCCAGAGAAGCCGCTCCAGAGTCTGCCAGGCCGTGCTGAGGGGCAGAGGCATGCCTCTGGTCCACCAGTGCCTCCCCTCCGCCAGGCAGCGGCGTGCCCACGGCCTGGGAGTGGGCGGGGAGTCACCGGTCCCGGCCGGGGCCTTCACCTGTTGCTACAGCAGCAGCAAAGGTGCCGAATGCTGTGAGTGAGCCGCAGCGGCCTTCCTGTCGGAACCTGTGCAGGATTTACCTTTCTAAGTGCTGTATAACCCCCCGGTACACGGTGTCAGCCGAAGGGGCAACACTTTTCTGAGATTTTCTCACCACAGCGGATCGCAGACTACAGCTCCCGCAGATAAAAGCGGCCCGGGGCTGACCGGGCTGGCTTGGATCTGATAAATGCACGCATCCCCTCGGGGGCAGCACGTCAGCACGTGTAAAACGAGTGCCTTGGAATATCCTGGGAGCCAGGCCACCTTTTGCTTTTTTTTAACTTTCAAATCTTCACCAGTTTCTTCATTCAGTTTGCGTTACAGTTGAGGAAAATGGAATTAGCCTTCGCAGATGCAGCCCTGAGTGTGTTTTGAAGGTGGATGCTGCCTCCTGAGAGGGTCACTGGGGTGGAGGTCACTCAGGCGACCGTCCGGCAGGCGGTGGCTCAGGCCCAGCGCAGCGGCAGCAGAGCCCCCTGGCGGTGCCCGCGGGCAGCTGGGCGCGGGGGTGGTGAGGAGTCCCCTCCTTCCCTGTCTGCTGAGGAGCCAGAGCGGAGGGGGGGGCTCTGGGGGGGTCAGAGAGGCCAGAGGGAAAGGACCCGGCGGGGCATTGATTGGGGTTTGGCCCCACAGAGCCAGGTCTGCAGGCACAGCAGGCTCGGCCCCTCATGGGTATAAGGTTCTCCCTCCCCCCCCCCCTCACCTCCTTCAATTCTGATTTCTCCACCTCCGTAATGAGTCCCGCTCATTACTGGGGAATAAACTTCACTGTAAATGCCTTGGTGGCCAGTTTCCTGCGCCTCAAACCTTACAATGGGCTCGTCCTTCTCCACCGTCTCACGGGGCCCGGCAGTCCTGCCCGGCTCTGGGCTGGGGGCAGAGATGTGCCGTGGGGAGAGCTCTTCCCCGGAGCCTGGAGGCCTCCTGCCTTCCCTTCCATTTTGGAATCTGCTTTTCCTTCCTGACTTAGTGCAAATGCCACCTCTTCCGGGAAGCCATTCCTGATTTCCCCTTGCCCTTCCCACTGATCAGTCCCATTGTCTGATCTGCATTGTGCATTATTCACACTTTTTAAAAATATATTTTTATTACCCAGCTGGGCATGGCTCAGTGGTTGAGTGTTGATCCAGGAACCAGGAGGTCACAGTTTACTTTCCGATTAGAGACAGGCACAGGCTGCAGGCTCAGTCCCCAAAGAGGGCCTGCAGGAGGCAGCTCATCAATGATTCTCTCCATCATTGATGTTTCTCTCTCTCTCCCTCTCCCTTCATTTCTGAAATCAATGAGAATATATACATGCATATATCTCCATTGATTTCAGAGCTCCCTTGCTGGGGAGGGAGCCTGCAACCCAGGCGTGTGCCCTAACTGGGGTGAACCAGTTACTTCCTGGTTCATGGGTCAATACTCAACCACTGAGCAACAGCGGCAGGGCCGTTTGTTGTAACTCTTATAGATCTTTCCTCAGATTTAAAAAATATATATTTTTATTGATTTCAGAGAGGAAGGAAGAGGGAGAGAGAGAAACATCGATGATGAGAGATGGTGACGGTGACGCCCCCTACTGGGGATTGAGCCCGAAACCTGACAGCTGTCTATAACCTTGGCCTGTCCCCATGCCCAGCCATGAGATGTGGGGTTTCCCCAGGGCTTTCAGAAGAGCATTGCCACCTCTGGTACTTTAAAAAAATCTATTTTTATTGATTTCAGAGCGGAAGGGAGGGGAGAAAGAGATAGAAACATCAATAATGAGAGAGAATCACCGGTCATTGCTGCTTCCTGCATGCCCCCACTGGGGAAGGAGCCTGCAACCAGGCATGTGCCCTTGACCAGAATGAAACCCGGTGCCCCTCAGTCCACAGGCCTATGCTCTAGCCACTGGGCAACACCAGCTAGGTCGGGTCACGACTGGGACCAGTGTGGTGGCCCTTCCTTTCTTTCTTTCTCTCTTTCTTTCTTCCTTCCTTTCTTTCCCTCTCTCTCTCCCTTTCTTTCTTCCTTTCTTTCTCTCTCTCTCTCCCTTTCTTTCTTTCTCTCTCTCTCTCTCTCTCTTTCTTTCTCCTCCTCCTCTTCCTCCTCCTCCTCCTCCTCCTCCTCCTCCTCCTCCTCCTCCTCCTTAATATATTTTATTGATTTTTTACAGAGAGGAATGGAGAGTGATAGAAAGTTAGAAACATCAATGAGAGAGAAACATCGATCAGCTGCCTCCTGCACACCCCCTACTGGGGATGTGCCCGCAACCAAGGTACATGCCCTTGACCAGAATCGAACCCGGGACCCTTCAGTCCGCAGGCCGGCGCTCTATCCACTGAGCCACACCGGTTTTGGCAATTTCTAGTGGCTCTGAAGGTTCCTCCGTCCTCTGCTTCATACGGAGCAAGGACTGCCATTGCCCTGACATCATGGTGGCTCCTCTGCTCACTCCGCCGTCAGCCAACTCTGCCCCTCGTCACCGCAGGCTACAAGACCCTCCTCAAGTGCCTGTCCGGCACATTCTGCCGCCGGGAGCTAATTGGCATCATGGGCCCCTCAGGGGCCGGCAAGTCCACGTTCATGAACATCTTGGCAGGATACAGGTGAGGCCGGCCGGGGGTGGGGGCAGGCCCCGGAGGACCCCCGGAGCCCTCAGGCGTCCGAGGGGCCTGGCCCCTCCCAACGCCGCCGCGCTGCCGCAGGGAGTCGGGGATGAAGGGGCAGATCCTGGTCAACGGGAGGCCACGGGAGCTGAGGACCTTCCGCAAGATGTCCTGCTACATCATGCAGGACGACCTGCTGCTGCCGCACCTCACCGTGTGCGAGGCCATGATGGTGAGCCGCGCCCTCCGGCGCCCGCCCGCCGCCTGCCCCGGGCCCGGCGCCCCTCGCGCACGGCTCACCGCCTCTTCTCTGGCCTCAGGTCTCTGCGAACCTGAAGCTGAGTGAGAAGCAAGAGGTGAAGAAGGAGCTGGTGAGTGGGCAGGGCGGGGGGATGGGACGGCCATCCTTTTCGGTGCTGCTGTGTTCTGCGCCCTGAGTCGGGGGGGGGAGAGGGGTGTACAGACTGGCGCACTAGACTGAACGGAGATGCTGAAGTTGGGGTCGGCCCAGCCCGGCCAACATGGCTCAGTGGTTGAACATCAGCCCATGAGCCGGGAGGTCACAGTTCCATTCTGCAGTCAGGACACAGGCCCAGGTTGCCTGCTTGGTCTCCACTAGGGGGCGTGCAGGAGGCAGCTGATCAATGATTGCCTCTCATAATTGATGTTTGTCTCTCTCCCCCTTTCCCTTCCCCTCTGACATCAATAAAAATATATTTTTAAAAAATAAATAAATATGCCCCGGCTGGTTTGGCTCAGTGGATAGAGCATCGGCCTGCGGACTGAAGGGTCCTAGGTTTGATTCCAGACAAGGCCACATGCCCAGGCTGTGGGCTCGATCCCCAGGAAGGGGTGGCAGGAGGCAGCCAATCCATGATTCTCTCTTCACTGATGTTTTCATCTCTCTCTCCCTCTCCCTTCCTCTCTGAAATCAATAAAAAGATGTTTTTTTAAATAAGTCAGTCAGTTGGGTGGTGCCGGGAAGCAGGGGCTGAAGCTGGTGGTTGGGCCGGCAGGTGACGGAGATCCTGACGGCGCTGGGCCTGCTGGCCTGCTCCCACACGCGGACAGCCCTGCTCTCGGGCGGGCAGAGGAAGCGCCTGGCCATCGCCCTGGAGCTGGTCAACAACCCGCCCGTCATGTTCTTCGATGAGCCCACCAGGTGCCCCCTCCCGGGCTGCCCTCCCCTCCGGGCCAGGACGCCGCCCCCCGCCCCCCGCCCCCCGCCCCCGCAGCCTGTGCTCCACAGGCAGAACCCGGCCTCCTTGCCTGACGCCCCCTCTCCTCCTCCGCACAGCCAGCCACCCAGTCCTGCAGACCCGCTCCTCTCCACCGCTAGCCCCCAGCCCCTCCCTGGTGCCAAGTTCACCACCAACCACCCCGCATTTCCCAGGCTGCTCCCTGTCCCCGCCTCCCCCATCCTCCCTCTGCGCCGGCAGGGAGCTTCCCAGAAGCCCGTCAGCCCTGGCCGGGTGCCCGGCCCTGGTGGGGGCTCTCACACCCATGTGTCTGTCTTCCCCGTCTCCTCCACTCCCTCTAAAACAATGGGGAATACCCTCCGGTGAGGACAAACAAAGGAAGCCAAGCCTGGCGAGCTCCCACCTGCCTCAGGACAGGGCGGCCTCACTCCGGCCGCAGTGACTCCGATTGTTAGAGCCCCTGACATGTGACTCATGCCTCTGCTTTCACTCACGGTCTTCTGCCCGGAATGCCCTCCCCCACCACGCCTGCCTTTCCCCTTCACCTGGCTAGCGTGCTCTCCTTCCAGAACCTTCTCTCGCTCCCCTGCAGCAGCCTCGTGCAGAGGGCTGAACCCGCCTCTCTTTCACTCCTGTTTCCACAGCATGTTCCGCCTCTCTGCCTCCTGTTTATTCCTCGTTGTGGTCTCACTGGGTGCTCCATGGGTGCTGTCACATGGGGCTGGGTCCCTCCAAATGTCTGGATCACAGTGTGTCTGGGCAGAGGGGCGGCCAGAGGGACCTTCCTGCCAGCCCAGCCCCGGCCCCAGCACTGCCTCTGGCAGGCTCCACCCAACCCGCCCGCCTCCCTCCCGCTCTCTCTGCAGCGGGCTGGACAGCACGTCCTGCTTCCAGGTGGTGTCCCTCATGAAGTCGCTGGCCCAGGGCGGCCGAACCGTCATCTGCACCATCCACCAGCCCAGCGCCAAGCTCTTCGAGATGTTCGACCAGGTGCGTGTCCCTGGCCTCAGGGCGGGGGGGTGGGGGGCGCAGCGGTGCGGCCGGCCCCTGAGCCTCGGTGTCTCCCCCTCCGCTCAGCTCTACATCCTGAGCCAGGGCCAGTGCATATTCAAGGGCCTGGCCACCAAGCTGGTCCCCTACCTGAAGGGCCTGGGCCTGCACTGCCCCACCTACCACAACCCCGCGGACTTCAGTGAGTGCGGCCGGGCGGGCGGGGTGGGCCGGCCGGGCCCTGCTCCCACCTGACCTCGCACCCAGCTTGCCGGGACCAGGCGGGAGCTCAGCCACGCCCCGCTCGCTGTCCCAGTTATCGAGGTGGCCTCTGGCGAGTACGGGGACCTGAACCCCATGCTGTTCCGGGCCGTGCAGCGCGGGCTGTGCGCCAGCGAGAGGACGAGCCTGGAGAAGAACACGGCCCCCGCGCCCGGCCCCCCCTGCCCGCTGGTGAGTGCGGCGGGGAGGGGAGGGCGGGCCGGCTCTCCTCGGGCCCTCCTCCCGCCCGCGTTTGAGATGTTATTACTACTTTTGAATCCTCATCAAGGATGTTTTTCACGGCTTCTGATGGAGTGGAAGGGCGGGGGCAGAGAGGGAGAGAAACACAGATGTGAGGGTTCCTCCCGTGCGACCCTGTGGGGCTGGGGGGAGCCTGTGCCCAGGTGCACCCGGAGCAGGAGCAGGCGTGGCCCTGCCCGCGGCCAGGCTGGCGCTGCCCGCTGCGCGGTGGCCGGGCTCCCTCTGGGGAGTGGCTGCGCGGCTGCGGGTGCTGTCTGGGCGGCCGGAGGCCAGGTGGCCGGGAGGACGGGAGGCCGGTGGCCTGGGGCTCGGTGGCCGGGAGGCCGGTGGCCTGGGGCTCGGTGGCCGGTGGCCTGGGGCGCGGTGGCCGGTGGCCGGTGGCCTGGGGCTCGGTGGCCGGTGGCCTGGGGCTCGGTGGCCGGGTGGCCTGGGGCTCGGTGGCCGGTGGCCGGTGGCCTGGGGCTCGGTGGCCGGGTGGCCTGGGGCTCGGTGGCCGGGTGGCCTGGGGCTCGGTGGCCGGGTGGCCTGGGGCTCGGTGGCCGGTGGCCTGGGGCTCGGTGGCCGGTGGCCTGGGGCTCGGTGGCCGGTGGCCTGGGGCTCGGTGGCCGGTGGCCGGTGGCCTGGGGCTCGGTGGCCGGGTGGCCTGGGGCTCGGTGGCCGGTGGCCGGTGGCCTGGGGCTCGGTGGCCGGGTGGCCTGGGGCGCGGTGGCCGGGTGGCCTGGGGCTCGGGGGCCGGTGGCCGGTGGCCTGGGGCTCGGTGGCCGGGTGGCCTGGGGCTCGGTGGCCGGTGGCCTGGGGCTCAGTGGCCGGTGGCCTGGGGCTCGGTGGCCGGGAGGCCGGTGGCCTGGGGCTCGGTGGCCGGTGGCCTGGGGCGCGGTGGCCGGTGGCCGGTGGCCTGGGGCTCGGTGGCCGGTGGCCGGTGGCCGGGTGGCCTGGGGCTCAGTGGCCGGGGGGCCGGTGGCCTGGGGCTCGGTGGCCGGGTGGCCGGTGGCCTGGGGCTCGGTGGCCGGTTGCCTGGGGCTCAGTGGCCGGTGGCCGGTGGCTTGGGGCTCGGTGGCCGGTGGCCTGGGGCTCAGTGGCCGGGAGGCTGGTGGCCTGGGGCTCAGTGGCCGGTGGCCTGGGGCTCGGTGGCCGGTGGCTGGTGGCCTGGGGCTCGGTGGCCGGGAGGCCGGTGGCCTGGGGCTCGGTGGCCGGTGGCCTGGGGCTCGGTGGCCGGTGGCCGGTGGCCTGGGGCTCGGTGGCCGGTGGCCTGGGGCTCGGTGGCCGGTGGCCGGTGGCCTGGGGCTCGGTGGCCGGTGGCCGGTGGCCTGGGGCTCGGTGGCCGGGTGGCCTGGGGCTCGGTGGCCGGTGGCCGGTGGCCTGGGGCTCGGTGGCCGGTGGCCGGTGGCCTGGGGCTCGGTGGCCGGGTGGCCTGGGGCTCGGTGGCCGGTGGCCGGTGGCCTGGGGCTCGGTGGCCGGTGGCCGGTGGCCTGGGGCTCGGTGGCCGGTGGCCGGTGGCCTGGGGCGCGGTGGCCGGTGGCCTGGGGCTCGGTGGCCCGGTGGCCTGGGGCTCGGTGGCCGGGAGGCCGGTGGCTCGGTGGCCGGTGGCCTGGGGCTCGGTGGCCGGTGGCCAGTGGCCTGGGGCGCGGTGGCCGGTGGCCTGGGGCTCGGTGGCCGGTGGCCTGGGGCTCAGTGGCCTGGGGCTCAGTGGCCGGGAGGCTGGTGGCCTGGGGCTCAGTGGCCGGTGGCCGGTGGCCTGGGGCTCGGTGGCCGGTGGCCGGTGGCCTGGGGCTCGGTGGCCGGTGGCCGGTGGCCTGGGGCTCGGTGGCCGGTGGCCGGTGGCCTGGGGCTCGGTGGCCGGTGGCCTGGGGCTCGGTGGCCGGTGGCCTGGGGCTCGGTGGCCGGTGGCCGGTGGCCTGGTGGCTGGCTGTGCTCCAGCCAGAGGAGCTGCGGCCGAGCGCTCAGGGCTGCTGGGGCGGCGAAGACCAAAGACCATCACAGAGCTCTTGGCAGCAGCAGTGTCCCTGGCGCCCTCACGCCCTCAGCGCCCGTGCTCCTCCGGTGGTCGCTGCCCCGGGTCTGACTGTGAGAGAGCGGCTGCTGCCGGCTCAGCGGCTGAGTGTCGACCTGTGAACCGGAGGTCACGGTTCGATTCCTGGTGGCTGGGTGTGTGGCTGGGTGTGTGGGTGTGGGTGGCTGGGTGTGTGTGTGGGTGGCTGGGTGTGTGGCTGAGTGTGTGGGTGGCTGGGTGTGTGGGTGTGGGTGTGTGTGTGTGTGTGTGTGTGGGTGTGTGTGTGTGTGTGTGTGTGTGTGTGGCTGGGTGGCTGGGTGTGTGGCTGGGTGGGTGGCTGGGTGGTAGCTGGGTGGCTGGGTGTGTGGCTGGGTGGTAGCTGGGTGGCTGGGTGGTAGCTGGGTGGCTGGGTGGCTGGGTGTGTGTGTGTGGGTGGCTGGGTGTGTGGGTGTGGGTGGCTGGGTGTGTGTGTGTGGGTGGCTGGGTGTGTGTGTGTGGGTGGCTGGGTGTGTGGCTGGGTGGGTGGCTGGGTGGTAGCTGGGTGGCTGGGTGTGTGGCTGGGTGGTAGCTGGGTGGCTGGGTGGCTGGGTGTGGCTGGGTGTGGCTGGGTGTGTGGTGGGTGGGTGTGGTGGCTGGGCTGTCGGTGGTCAGGGACCGTTTCCTCTCACAGGAGCTGGACCCCATAGAGAGCCACAGCTTTGCCACGAGCACCCTCACCCAGTTCTGCATCCTCTTCAGGAGGACCTTCCTGTCCACCCTCCGGGACACGGTGAGGCACCGGGCCCTGCGGGAGGCCGCTCTGAGCCGCCCCCGCTGCCCCTGCCGCCGTGGCCACTGCCCCGATGACCCGCCCACAGGTGCTGACCCACCTGCGGCTGGTGTCCCACGTGGTGATCGGCGTGCTCATTGGCCTCCTCTACCTGCACATCGGGGACGACGCCAGCAAGGTCTTCAACAACACGGGCTGCCTCTTCTTCTCCATGCTCTTCCTCATGTTCGCCGCCCTCATGCCCACCGTGCTCACCTGTGAGCAGAGCTGCCCAGGCAGGGCGGGTGCTGGGCTGGGGCGGGGTGCTGGCAGGGGGGGCGGGGTGCTGACAGGGGCGGGGTGCTGACAGGGGGGGCGGGGTGCTGACAGGGGGGGCGGGGTGCTGACAGGGGCAGGGTGCTGGCAGGGGGGCGGGGTCCTGGCAGGGGCGGGGTGCGGGCAGGGGAGGGGTGCTGGCAGTGGGGGCGGGGTCCTGGCAGGCGTGGGGTGCTGGGCAGGGGATGGGTGCTGGCAGGGGCGGCGGGGTCCTGGCAGGCGTGGGGTGCTGGCAGGCGTGGGGTGCTGGCAGGGGCGGGGTGCTGGCAGGGGGGCGGGGTCCTGGCAGGCGTGGGGTGCTGGGCAGGGGAGGGGTGCTGGCAGGGGCGGGGTGCTGGGCAGGGGGGGCGGGTTGCTGGCAGGCGTGGGGTGCTGGGCAGGGGCGGGGTGCTGGCAGGGGCGGGGTGCTGGCAGGGGGGCGGGGTCCTGGCAGGCGTGGGGTGCTGGGCAGGGGCGGGGTGCTGGCAGGGGCGGGGTGTTGGCAGGGGGGCGGGGTCCTGGCAGGCGTGGGGTGCTGGGCAGGGGCGGGGTGCTGGCAGGGGCGGGGTGCTGGCAGGGGCGGGGTGTTGGCAGGGGGGCGGGGTCCTGGCAGGCGTGGGGTGCTGGCAGGGGCGGGGTGCTGGCAGGGGCGGGGTGCTGGCAGGGGCGGGGTGCTGGCAGGGGCGGGGTGCTGGCAGGGGCGGGGTGCTGGCTGGGCGGGAGCCTGATCGCTGCGCGTCCTCAGTCCCCCTGGAGATGGCAGTCTTCATGAGGGAGCATCTCAACTACTGGTACAGCCTCAAGGCCTATTACCTGGCCAAGACCATGGCCGACGTGCCCTTCCAGGTGAGCTCTCCCTCCACCTGCCGCCCCCCTCCCTCCTCGCTCCTGCCAGCCTCGCTTGCTTGCCTCCCTCCCCCTTGTCACCGTCATCTTTTCCTTTCCTTCTCCTCCAAAAATGGGTGGTGAGGACCTGCCGTGCGCCATGCTCCGTGCCAGGCAGGGACGTAGTAGTGAGCAAGACGGACAGTCTTTTAAAACATATAAATATATGTACACACTAGAAGCCCGATGCACGAAGACTCGTGCTGGAATGGGCTTTCCTTTCCCTGGCGGCCGGCACCCTTTCCCTCCAGCCCAGCCCCTTTCCGCTCAGGCCCCCCTTCTCGCTGCCCAGAGGCCCTGAGGGACAGGGTTGGGGAGTGGATGCAGAACACTTGTATTGTCGCCATGGTGACAACGCAAGTGTCCCATCCCTGTCACTCAGCACCTGTGTATGCAAATTAAATCACCATCATTGTTGAGTTAACTTGCATATCACTCCTGATTGGCTGGTGGCATAGAAGAGGTACGGTCAATTTACATGTTTGTCTATTGTTAGGTAAAATATATATCCTATATAATAAAAAGCTAACATGCAAATCAACCGAGTGGCAGAACGACCAGACACTGTGACCCACTGACCACCAGGGGGCAGATGCTCAGTGCAGGGAGGTGTCCCCTGGTGGTCAGTGTGCTCCCACTGGGGGAGTGCGGCTCAGCCAGAAGCCGGGCTCATGATTGGCGAGTGCAGGGGCAATGGTGGGAGGCCTAAGCTGTCAGTGGGACATCCCCCAAGGGCTCCAGACCCAAGTGCATGAACTTTGTGCACTGGGCCTCTGGTATACATATAAACGTAAACATATACACGAGGCCCGCCGCGTGAAAACGTGTGCACCGGCCTGCTCCTCTCACAGCCCCGGAGCCTCGGGGATGTCCCACGGCTCCTTGGCGAGCAGGCCTAAGCCACAGTCTGGACTCCCTCTGTGGGAGGCAGCCGGCCGGTCAGGGAAGGCGGTGCCCCCATCATCCCGCTGCTGCTGCCCCACTGCCAGCCACAGGGGTGCCTGCCCAGGCTGCTGGAGCCCACACCGCACAGCGCAGCCTGCCTGTGTCCTCTCCGGGCCGCCTGAGCCCCCTGCCTGTCTCTGTCTCTGTCTCTGCTCCACGCCTCACCTGCGTGCACAGCCTCCTCCTGTCCGTCATGACCCGTTACAGGGTCCTGGCCTAATTTGCATATTACCTCTTTTGCTATAGAGAGATTTCTTTATTGATTTCAAAGAGGAAGGGCGAGGGAGAGAGAAGCATCAGTGATGAGAGAGAATCATTGATGGGCTGCCTCCTGCACATCCTGCACTGGGGATGGAGCCCACAACCCAGGCCTGTGCCCTTGGCTGAAATCAAACCCGAGACCCTTCCGTCCACAGGCTGACGCTCTACTCACTGAACCACACCAGCTAGGGTGACTCCGTGATTCTTATTTGAAGCGTAGAGGACAGCGCAGGCTCCGGAGCCCTGCTGCTGGGGGCGCTGGGAGACTCGGGCGGGGTGCCTGCCTCAGAGTCCCCTCTGTGAAATGGGTGATGATGGAGCCGAGCTTGGAGCAGCGTGAGAATGACATGAGCTGCTGCCTGCCCAGTACTGAGAGTGTGCGTGGCACACACGCGTGTCCAACGACGGTTAGCTGTTTGGGCTGTTGTTGCCCCATCGCCCTGCTTCAAGCCCTGGGGCCCCAGGAACCCACATGGCACCTTTGTGTGAATCAGTCAAAGGTGCCCCTGCCCTGGCTGGTGTGGCTCAGTGGTAGAGCATTGTGGATTAAAGGGTCCCGGGTTCGATTCCGGTCAAGGCTCATACCTTAGCTGGGGTGTCTGCAGGAGGCACCCAGTTGATGTGTCTCTCTCACATCCTTGTCTCCCTGTCGCTCCCCTCCCTTCCTCTACACCAGCGGGAAGGTATCCTCCTGTGAGGACACACAGCTCACAGTGCCCTCCTCAGGGGGCGCCTCCTCAGGGGGTGCTGAGCTGCCTCTCTTTGGGGGGCTGCCCTTGACCAGGTGTCCTTGTGCAGGGAACGGCCTGCAGGGCTGTGTGTGGTAGGCTGGTCCTGGCCCTTCAGGAGTTAGTAACAAGCGGACAGAACGCCCGCGTACAATTAACCAGTTAACGACCGGGCGGGAGCCGGGGAGCTGGGGGAGCTCTGCCCTGCGTCCGGGACCCGGAGGCGCTGTGCCCGGCGAGGCACGAGGCCACGTGGCCAGGGAGGAGGACATGTGGCCGGGCAGCGTGAAGGGAGTGAGGGCAGGACTGGGCCCGAGCCCCCAGGAAGAGCTGCTCCAGGCCCCGCCTGTGCGCCCCAGGTGGTGTGCCCCGCCTTGTACTGCAGCATCGTGTACTGGATGACGGGCCAGCCCGCGGAGACCGGCCGCTTCCTCCTCTTCTCGGCCCTGGCCACGGCCACGGCGCTGGTGGCCCAGTCTCTGGGGCTGCTCATCGGAGCCGCCTCCAACTCCCTGCAGGTGGGAAGGCTGGCGTCGGGGCTGGGAGGGGAGGGCGGGCTGGCCCAGGAGTGGCAGACCTGCAGGAGACCTCTCACTGGGATGGCCGGCCCGCCCCCAGGTGGCCACGTTTGTGGGCCCGGTGACGGCCATCCCGGTGCTCCTGTTCTCCGGCTTCTTCGTCAGCTTCAAGACCATCCCTGCCTACCTGCAGTGGAGCTCCTACCTCTCCTACGTCAGGTCAGTGCGGCCGGCGCCCCCGCAGTGCCCCTGCGGGCCAGCCCCGGGCAGAGCTCCATCTGCCGGGGGAGCAGGGCCTCCTCCACGCTGCCCGCCCCGAGGGCGGGGCCTCCACGCTGCCCGCTCCCTCCACGCTGCCCGCCCCGAGGGCGGGGCCTCCACGCTGCCCCGCTCTGACACCCCTGCTCGCCCAGGTATGGCTTCGAGGGTGTGATCCTGACCGTGTACGGCCTGGGGCGCGGGGACCTAGTCTGCCCGTTCCGGGAGGAGCGCTGCCCGCTCCGGGAGCCGCAGAGCATCCTCCGAGCACTGGACGTGGAGGACGCCAAGCTCTACGTGGACTTCCTGGTTTTAGGCATCTTCTTCCTGGCTCTGCGGCTGCTGGCATACCTCGTGCTCAGGTACCGGGTCAAGTCGGAGAGATAGAGCCCGGCCCGCAGTGGCTGGCCCGCCTTTGGGACTGTTAAACCTGTGGACTGGACCCCGGGTGCTGGCCCCGCTGCCTGCCCTCTGCCGGCATCCCCCAGGCCAGCGGCCATTCTCCCCACCGGGGCCTGGCGCGGGCTCAGCCCTCCGTGCCGTGCCCAGGCGTCTTCCGGGAAGTGGTTTGTAGCTTCCCCCTTCTCTCCTCAGCCTGCATGCAAAGATCACGGGCCGTCATGCTCCCTCCGGCCTGGCACCCTCTGGGGGTCCCAGTGCACTGTCAGAAAGCGGAGGTCCAGGGCTGGGCCCTGACGGTCCCCGAAGTCCGGAGTGGGCGTGAGAATGGGTGGGAAGGCTCTGCAGACTCCCTCCTCCCCCCTTGCTGCTGGACAATCTGCTGGACAGAAGCTGGGTTTCTGTCTGCACCGCCCCGCCCCCCGGGCCTGGGGATGGGAGCGCATGGGCCCTGGTGCCCTTCCCCCTCCGCCCTCTGGCTGCGCAGCCGGGCAGCATCTCTGCAATAACTGTCTCCCGCCCGCCCGCCCGGCCGCCCGCCCCCCGGCTGCAGAGCTCACCCCCTCCGGGCTGAGTGAGAGAAGCCAGGCCTCCCTCCTGTACTCCCCGGGCCTGCCATGCCCGCTTCCCAGGAGCCCAGGCACAGACCTGGGACCAGGCCTCTCGGCCTCACCCCATGTGGGTGGCCTGGTGCTGGCGGGTGCCGCCCTCCCCGGTCCTGCTCTGGCAGGAAGGGTGAAGCCATGTTGTCCAGGGCGTCTTCGGTCTGTAGGTTCTGCCCCAGGCTTCCCCTCCTCCCGAGCCGGGGTGGCACAGGGCCTTCCTTCCCTGGAGTTCAGGGCCTGACACAAGCACAAGCAGGAGCATCACTGGCCTCGGCCACTGGCACCAGGGCCCTGTGTGCCACACTGGCATTCTCACTCCTCCGTCCCTTCCCCAGCCGCGTGCTGCTCATTCATGCCCATCTCTCCCCCTGGGCACGCCCTGAGCTCCAGGGTCAGACGCCTGGAGCGGGTCTGGCTTTCCTGGTGGTCCAGGCTCATTCCAGGTCTGATTTTCCTTCCCTAGGACTCTTTTCTTCCCTTTTTTAATAAACATATATTTTTATTGATTTCAGAGAGGGAGGGAGAGGGAGAGACAGAAACATCAATGATGGGAGAGAGTCATCACTTGGCTGCTCCTGCACACGCCCCAGGCATGTGCCCTAAGAATTGCCCGTGACCTGGTTTGTAGGACGCTCAGCCACTGGCCCCTGGGCCTGGCTCCTCTCCGTCATTACTGTGCGCAGTTCCCCCAGAGGCCGGGACGCGTGGGCTCACCGTCACTAATAAAGCCTATATTTGTAGTGTGTGGTGTGTGCGGTGTGTGGGTCTGACCTGAGAGCTGGGAGGGGTCTTCAGAGCACAGGCAGGGAGCTGTGGCTTAGGGAGCCCGCGGCAGGGGGAGTCCTCAGCATGTGTCACCTAGGAAACGGGCATCTGGTGGATATCTAGACCATGTTCTACATCTTACAAACGCTTCCTGCTTATCGTCTCAAGGGAGTCCCCCGACAGTCCTGCGTTCTTCTTCATGGCAATCCATTGCAGATGGGAACCCTGAGACGTGGATTAAAGCACTGTCTGGGGCCCTTAGCTAACGAAGATGGATAGGAACCAGGTCTCCAGCCTCTCTGCTCCTCGTCCTTGACATCGACGGGGGCCCGGGGGCCCGCTGGCCGGGTGCGGCCTGTGTCTGCGGCTGCGGTGTGTCTCAGCAGAGGGATACACTTTCTCCTTAGAGCTGACGGCCCCGGTGCTCGTGGCTGCGCCCAGGGAGCTCCCTGACGGGCTGGATCAGGCTCCCGTCTAGACTGGTGTTTTTGCCTGGAGATGGACTGACTTTGTTTCTGTTGGGGGTGGAGAGTGGGAGGGGGAAATGTAAAGAAATCCAGCCCCTGAAATTCTAGTTAGTTTTTGGGACATTCTAGGTGCCACCTTCTCTCAAAAGTGATGCCAATATTTGTTTGTTGGTTTATAATTTTACTTTAAAAATCTATTTTTATTGATTTCAGAGAGGAAGGGAGAGAGAGAGAGAGAAACATCAATGGTGAGAGAGAATCATTGATTGGCTTCCTCTTGCACACCCCTTACTAGGGATAGAGATCACAGCCTGGCACGTGCCTTGCCTGGAATCAAACCCAGGACCCTTTGGCCCACAGGCTGATGCTCTATCCACTGAGCCACACGGGAGAGCACATTTCACCCTTAGATCGTTTTTCTTAAGATTCTTCGTCTTTGCGCTTTCTCTCTGAAAATGCAAATGCCTGCGACTCAAGCACCTATCCGTTGGTCTGTAAATTTCCTTGGTTGCTAAGGAGATGAGCAGCGAATCCAGCGCTGGTGAAGTGCAGGAGCGTGCGGGTCTCTGCCAAGGGAGCTCCTCAGGTTCCAGCCGCACCCCCGAAGCTGCAGGAGGAAGCCGGGCTGGAGGAGTGATTGCACAAGCTCTCAGTTAGGTGCCCTCGCCTGCCACCGAGAAGCAACAGCGATTTCTCCACCAGTGCCTCCCCGCAAACACCCTCCCCAGCCCAGCGAGCTCTGAAATGGCCTGCTCTCCCCTGCGGCCGCCCTTCCTGGCTCCGAGGTCACTCCCACACAGCCACCTGTCGGGCTGTGCCAGGGCAGAGGTCAGGCGACAGAGCACGCGAGCACGCCCCCGGGCCCCAGGCCACAAGAGGCCAGTCAATCCTATGTTACCAAAAAGCTGACATGGCCCGCCTGGGGGTGCTGAATGGCTGAGCTTGGGCCTGTGGACTAAGAAATCACGGTTCGATTCCCAGTCAGGGCACAGGCCCGGGTTGTGGGCTCCATCCCCAGTGGGGCTGTGCAGGAGGCAGCCGATCAATGATTCTCTCTCATCATTGGTATTTCTCTCTCTCTCCCTCTCTGAAACAAACAAACAAACAAACAAACCACAACAACTAAAGATTTAAGAAAGCTGACAGGACTGTCATACCAAGGGGGAGGGAGCCTGCTCTGAGCTGGGGCAAGTCACTGCCGCCGGCCCCTCGGCCCCACACGATAAGTAAGCGGGGAAGCCAGAGGAGTCCCCAGGCCCAGCACGCCACATCTGAGCCCACATTCACTGAGTGACTCTCCTCCCTCTCCCAGACTCTCTGCTCCCCTTTCAGAATATCTCTTACAGTGCACACGCGCCACTGTCCCTGCTGCCTGGACTTCCCCTCCTGGGCGCTCGCGCGCGCGCTCTCTCTCTCTCTCTCTCTCTCTCTCTCTCTCTCTCCCCCTCACTCAAGGATATTTCCCCATTGATTTGAGAGAGTGGGAGGGAGAGGGAAAGATAGAAATATTGATGTGAGAGAAATACATTGATTGGTTGCCTCCTGCATGCGCCCTGACCAGGGCCCAGGCTGGGAGGAGCCCTTGATTGGAATCGAACCCAGGACCCTTTGGTCCAATGCTCTATCCACTGAGCCAAGCCAGTCGGCCTGGACTTATCTCTTAGAATCCAGCTCAGCAGTCATCTCTTCTGCCAGAGGCAGTTAGTACCCCCCACCCCTCCCACCAGGACGTTCCTAAGCTTCTGTCTCCTCTGAAGCACCATCATTTGGGCCCCTGGACGAGAACTGCTGATCTGTCTGGGGCCTGCACCCCTTGTTCAGCACTACCCCAATGCCAGTGTTTATCAGCTCTGCCTTCCGTCCAGACCAGTGGTCCCCAACCTTCTCCTGGCCACACACCACCTGAGCGTCTCTAACATCCTATGTGACACAGAATTCTTCTAACAAAGGGAGCTCCTATTTACGGGAGGAAGCCTAAAGGCCATTAACTTGGCCTAAAGAAGCTTCCAAAAACAGGGCACCCATGAGAGAGAAAAATAAAAGAACGAAAGGACAGGTGAAGTACTGAGGAAGAAATTACTAGAAATTGTTGAAAAAATAATAATAATATGAAGTGACATGAAAAAATAGAAAATAGTTTCAAAAGATATAACAGAGAACTGAAATGCATAAATGTCAGAATATATATTTATATACTGTATATGAGGCCCCTAGAACCATAAGAAATGAAAAAGTTCACTGTTAATAACTCATTTTCGAATTGCCCCCTTAAAAATCAAATTGTCCCCCTGTGGGCGTGTGCCCACGCTGGGAACCACGGGTCTATGTGAAGTTGGAGGTCACAGCCCTGCCCCAGGAACCCATGCACACCAGTTAGTGCACACTGCCACGCGTGCTTGCATGTGGAGGCATGCCCTGCCGTGGGTGCTGGGTGGCTCCTCCACCCGACGCAGGCCCTGGGTGTGTCCTGCATGGGCGGGGGCGGGGCGGGGGGCGCCGAGGACCAGGAAGCGCCGGGCGGGCCGTGAGTGGTGCAGGCTGGGTGGAAGCGGTTCCTCGGCCCACTCTCTCCTTCCTTGACCAGCGCCTGCAGAGGCTGGGTCTGCGGGGCGGGGCGAAGGAGGGCCAGGGAGCCGTGACCGGGTCTGCCGGAGGGAGGCGAGGACGGAGAAGAGGCCGGAGGGTGAGGCCCCACCGGGTCTGGTTCTGACTCGCTTCCTAGGCGGGTTCACCTGCGCCAGAACTTGCACCCTTCCTGCCGCGGTCCCTCCGCTGTAAACGGGCGAAACCACCGCCCTGCGCGGAGGAGGTCGGTGAGGCCATTGGGTGGGACTGGCGCTTGGCGGCCTGCAGAGGCCCCGCCCGGGAAGACCGGAGGAGGAGCCCCGCCCGAGCCTGCTCTCCGCCGGTCCGTCTGGCCGTCCGCCGCCCCCGCCGAGGGCCTGGCTGCCGGGCTCGCCCTCTCCCCGCGCGGCCAGGGCCGGTGCCAGGCGGGCGGGCGGGACGCGGGGCGGGGCGGGCGGTGGGCGGGGGCGGGGCGGGGCGCGGTGGGGCGGGGCGGGCGGTGGGCGGGGGCGGTGGGCGGGGCGGGGCGGGCGGTGGGCGGGGCGGGGCGGGCGGGGGGCGGACAGAGAGGGCGGGGCCGCGCAAGCGTCGTGGGCGTTCGGCCGAGGAGTGGAGCTGCTCGCCGAGCGGTGGGTGGGCTTCCTGGCCGGCTCTGCGTCGGGGTCGGAAGCCACTGGAACTGGGAGGCTGCTTGGGACCCAGTTTGGGGGAGGAGCGCTGGTCTGGGGACCTCAGCCTTGTGCTTTCCCTGCCGAGTGCCCTGCTTTTCTCGCTGCCCCGACCCGGGTGATCTTGGGGAACTGCCCTCCCCCCGCTTCCGCGAGTCCCAGCTTGAGCCGTGGCCCTGGTCTGATTTGATCACCCCAATCAGTTTCCTCAGCCTCCCTCGGCTTTCCGGGCCTCTCCCTGCCCCTCCCCGCCGGGTCCCCACTGGCCGGCCCGCTGGCGGGGTCCTGGCGCAGCCAGAGCCCTAAGTGCGCCCTCCCCTGCCGAGCCAGGTCCCCCTCCCCTGCGGAGCCAGGTCCCCCTCCCCGAGGAGCCAGGTCCCCCCTGCGGAGCCAGGTCCCCCTCCCCTGCGGAGCCAGGTCCCCCCGAGGAGCCAGGTCCCCCTCCCCTGCGGAGCCAGGTCCCCCCTGCGGAGCCAGGTCCCCCCTGCGGAGCCAGGTCCCCCCCCCCCCCCTGAGGAGCCAGGACCCCTGGAGGAGCCAGGTCCCCCGGAGGAGCCAGGTCCTTGGAAATGAGATGCCAACAAGCAGCTGGCTCCGCATCAGGGAGGCCAGAGAACCAGGAATAACTTTCTGGGAGGTGGTACCTTTGGGCAGGGTCTGAAAAGATTGGGGAGGATGCTGCGGTCATCCCAATCTGGAGGAAGTGTGTGAACGCAGGAAAGTGCCAGCAAGAATGCAATGAATGAGCCTGGCAAGTGAGGTGCGGGTTGGGGCAAACTCAGAAAAGTAGTGGGTGTGGGCCAGACGGTTGTGCTCTATTTATAACAGAGGATTTCAGGGAGCGGGTTGGTGGCTGGCATGAGGGATTGGAATGACATGAGACTGAAGAGCAGCCAGGAAGGGGGAGGGGTCCCCAGAAATCTGCATTAGCACAGGGACAGTAGCGATAATGCAGTCAGAACAGGCTGGCACAGCTCGGGGAGGTGGCAGTGGGCCTGTTTCCTCTGTGAAGGAGGGAG